GAGTGGCTTAGTTGGTTAAGAGCTTGCTCAAGGGTTTGAGCTCTCAGTAACAGCGGTTCGAGTCCGGTCTGAGCTGAGCTGCCGCTGAGTTGCCAATAGGTGGCAGGATAGCTCAGCTAAGACAAGACAGGACAGGACAGGACAAGACAAGAAGACAAGACACAAAAAACAAATAACAAAAAAAAATACTGCCAGAGGTCAATAAAAAATAAATAAATTAAAAAAAAAAAAGAGTTCTAACGCAGCCAGGGAGCAAAGACAGTTACAAAGTAACCTGTATCAAGCTATCATCAGACTTCTCAGCAAAAATGCTATATAGGCCAGGAAAGAGTGGAATAACATATTCAAAATATTGAAAGATTAAAGTTGCCAACCAAGAATAATCTATCCATCAAAGTTATCCTTCAGATATGAAGGAGAAGTAGAGGCTTTCACAGTAAAATAAAAGCTGAAGGAGTTCATCATCATAAAACCTGCCTTATAAGAAATGTTGAAAGGAGCTCTTCTACTGGAAATGGAAGAGTAAACGTATATACAAAACTGAGTAAGGTGATAAACACAGAGTCAGAAAATTGCAACTTTATTACAGAATTAGGGTGTTAAACAATTACAGCATAAATGTTAAAGGGAAAAAAAGCATTAAAGAGAACTATAGCTACTTCAATTAGGTAACAACTAACAGGGAAGACTATAGCAATATAGGTCTACCTCAAGAAACAAGAAAAATCGCAAATAAACAATCTAACCATACACTTTAAATAACTAGAAAAGGAGGAACAAATGAAATCCAAAGTCTTCATAGAAGAAAGGAAATTGTAAAATTCAGAGCAGAAATTAATGCAATAAAGACTAAAAAAACAAAGAAAGAATTGGTCCTTTGAAAAGATATACAAAATTGTCAAACCTCTCGCTATATTCACTAAGAAGAAAAAGAGACAAATAAATAAAATTAGAAATGAAAGAGGAGGTTATAATGGATACCACAGAAATACAAAGGGTCATAAGACAATACTATGAAAGGCTATAGATATTTTCAAATACAGCAAATTGGGCAACCTGGAAGAAATGGATACATTTTTAGAATCGTGCAACCTTCCTAGGCTGAATCCTGAAGAAATAGAAAATCTGAATAGAGTAATCACTAGTAAGGGAATTGAAACAGTAATCAAAATCTCTCCCTAAAAGAAACCCAGGACTAGATGACTTCATTAGTGAATTCTACTGAACATTCAAAAGATTTAATACATGTTTTTCTCAATCTTTAAAAAAATTGAAGAGAAGGGTATGTTTCCTAACTTATTTTACAAGGCCAACGTTATTCTGAACGAAAACCAGACAAGCACAACAGAAAACAAGAAAATGACAGGCCAGTATCTGTCAGAAGAACACTGATGCAGAAATCCTCAGCAAAATATTAGCAAACCAAAAACAACAATATATTAAAAANAAAAAAAATTGTAGGAAAATATTTAAAATACTTAGCAAGAAGATTGATTATAAATATTTAGAACTTGTAAATAAACTATGTACAGATAATTGATATGCTAATCAAATAACATGTATATTAAAATAGTTACATTTTACTAAGGATTTACTTTATATACTTGGAGAAAATTGTTTTTTTCTATAGGAAATAATTTTGTAAATTGTTTTTAGGAGTACACACTGTCTTAACCTCTGATTAGCCTGAAGCTATAATTGATTGCTTTAATAAATTATTATATTTATGTTAATTTTGCAATTTGTCCTTTGAGGACTAAATATTGTTTATTCTGGGAATAGTTAGTATTACATATGTAACTAAGTGTAAGTGAAATAAACGGGAGAAATGTGACACATTATAATCATGATTCACTCACATATACCATGTTCTTCAGTGACTATACCCCTTTACAACTGCTTACTGTTTTTGTAATTACTTTAAATAACATTTTTACCTGAAAATTGTGTATAATATGTTTAAGATAGTATTCTAAATCACATTTTAATTTTGTTTCTTTTAGGCCTATGGCATGTCGGCATTACCTTTAAATCTGATAAAAGGCACTAGAAGTGCTGCTTATGAACGTTTAGAAAACACCGAAGACATTGAAGAAGTAGAACAACATATTCAAACGATTAAGTCAAAAGTGAGTGGATATTTTATTGTAATGGGGAAACATGAAATTACTTTGTCTTTTGGCTAGTTTCTGATGTGACTTAGACATTGACAAACACATAGTTTTGACATTGAATTTTTCTAACATACCCTTCAAGAACCATGCCTGTATATATATATATATATTTTTTTTAATTGTCTTCTGTGAAATATAGGACAGTGTCAGTTTGAGAATTCCTATTAGTGTTTGAATAACTAAAACACAAAAAGTTCTACGTATGACCAAAACTGCTCATTTCAGGTATGATGATTCCA